CTATCTATCTATCTATCTATCTATCTATCTATCTATCTATCTATCTAAGCAATGTCTCAATAAATCCTTGTTTTTCAGAGTCTCACTATGTAGGATGACCTGGAGCTTGTGATTGTCCTGCCTTACCTCCCCAAGTACCAAAATTATAGTTATGTGGCACAATGCAGAGCTCTGGATCCTTTCTCAGACATTAAAATGGGGATGTGCATACATACTACTACCTAATCAAGAAACTGAGGTAGATCAGTTTAGCCCAGGAGTTCGAGGGCATGTTGGCAAAAAGGAGACTGAACTCCTCCAATAAGTAGAAGTATACACACTTGGGGTTGGGACTGTAGCACAGTTGATAGAGTGCTTACTTAACATGCTTGAAACCCTGGTGGAGGCCAAAGGAGGATCAGAAGTTCAAGGTCATTCTCCATGGTACATGAGTTTGAGGATAGCCTGAGTTATATGTGAACCTGTCTCAAAAAAAACAAGGACAAAAACTTTGATCTTAGGTTCTAACAATCTCATTGTATTTGGGCATAATTTTCTTGATTTATCATGTTTTAGGTTCTTTAAAAAAATTTCCCCCATTGACATAGGGTCTCATTAGATAGGCCAGGCTAGCCAGAAAGTTAATCCTGCCTCATCCTCTTGGGTGCTGGGATTACAGGCACATACCATCACATTGGGCTCATTCTGGTTGTCTAAATCTTACGAAGACTATAGGTACTTGTTTGATCAGGCAGCTCACAAAACTGGATCAAGTATGGAAGGTTCTTTCATTTTTAAAATTACGTTTATTGGGGAAGGTGGTAGAGGTACATCATTGCCATTGCAATTCTTAATCATTATGTGGGTTCCAGGAACTTGGTCTTCCTGATTTGGCAGCAAGCATCTTTAACCACTAAGCCATTGGTTCTCAACCTGTGGGTCATGACCCCTTTGTGGGTGTTGAACCTTTCACAGGAATGGCACATCAGATATCCTGCCTATCAGATATTTGCATTATTATTCATAACAGTAACAAAATTAGTTATGAGGTAGCAATGAAAATAATCTTATGATTGGGGGTTCACCACAACATGGGAACTGTATTAAGAGGGTCACAGCATTAGGAAAGTTGAGACAAGTTTAATGAACATTCTGTGGGTTCTGGTTTTGATCTGAATTCTAACTTCAAAGACTTTTTTTGGGCAATATTTTGGAAGAGGAAAGGAACTAGTAGCAGGGGAGATGGGAGGATAAGACAAGGAAGTGAGAGCAAATATGAGCAAAGCATATGATGTACCTGTGTGAAAATATCCCCAGGAAACCCACTATTTTGTTATTATTATTTTTTTTTTTTTGCAGGGTGGGGGAGCACATATGTGGAAGTTAGAGGACTACTTGAGGATGTTGGTTCTCGCCTTCCACCATGTGGGTCTCAGAGACTGGACTCCGGTCAACAGGCTGCAAGGCAAACACCTTGACCTACTGAGCCACTTTGCTGTCCTGAAACCCCCTACTTTATATAATGATTACACACTTTTTATTTGTAGTCAACATGAGTGTGTATGTACACACATGTTAGAGACCAGAACAGGACAAGTTTGATGCTTTCTTCAATTACTCTGTACCTTCAATTCCTTGAGACAGAGTTTCTCACTGAAATGAAAGTTCCCCTGTAGGGTAGGCTGGAGCTCTCAGGATCCACCTGTCTCCACCCTAAGTGCTGGGGTTATAGGTGTGTGCAGCCATAACAACACTTCATACATGTGCTGAGATTCCAACTCAGGTAAGTATGCCTGCAGAATAAGCAATCTTGCCCACTAGGTCATCTCACAGCCACCACTACTTTTAGAAAATGCCTCGTCAGTGCCATTTGTGTCCCAACTTGAGGCTGGACTACATGAAAAGTGGTGTTCTCAGTGTCCAGTGTGTCTCACGATCATAAAACTACCTGGAGGTTGGGGACATGTAAATGACAGGGGGAGGCATGTCTTTCTCACTGGTCATTAAAACAACCCTCCCTTCCACTGCTTTTGTCAGAAATAGAGGTCCTATGGTAATTTTATGCCTATAGGGAGAAAAAGAAGATTAAACATGAATACTGTCAGCAGTAGACTAAGCATACAAAAACTGAAACTTCGTGCAAAGGTGTGGGTCCACTCCTGTAATCCCAGCTTTAGAAAGAGAAGGCAGGAGCCAGAGAGATCTGCAGTACATAAAGGCCTAGCACTTAGAAGCATGTACTACTCTTGCAAAGGACCCAAGTTCTGTTCTCAGCACCAACATTGGGTGGATTAAAACTGCTTGTAACTTCAGCTCCGCAGGATCTGACACCTCTGGCCTCTGTGGGCACCTTCACTCACCCACACACAGATAGCACACATACACATAATTAAAATTTGCTTTGGTTTTTTTTCAAGACAGGATCTCACTATGTAGCTCTAGCTATCCTAGAACTCACTATGTAAACCCAGCTGGCCTTGAACACACAGAACACAGAGATCTGTGGTTGCCTTTGCTTCCCAAGCGCTGGGATTAAAGGCATACACCATTATGCCTGGCCAAAGAAAAAAAATCTTAAAAAAAAAATATTTTTTTTTTAAATAAAAGTGGACTGGGCATTGTGGCACATGCCTTTAAACCCAGCACTTTAACCCCAGAGGCAGATTTTTGTGAGTTCATGGTCAGCCTGACTTACAAAATGAGTCCAGGACAGCCAGGGCTATAGAAACTCTGTCTCAAAAAACAACTACAAAACAAAAACAAAAACAGAAAAGAGAAAAAGAAAAATTAAAAAAAAGTAGAAGCAGGAGGATTACAAGTTCAATGTCATCCTTAGCTGTACAGTAAATTTTAGACCATCCTGGGGTATTGTCTCAAGAAAGAGCGCCTCAAACAAACAAAAACAACAAAACAAAGTGTAAAAGGCATTGCAACAGAACACATTTAAAGTTATCAAGAAAACTTCTGAAATCACAGAAATAGTTGGAAAAATCTAGAATGCCAAAGTTAAGAAATCTTGAAGATACCATCACATGCAAACTTGTACAGCCACATGAAATGAGTGTGGCAGTTCCTCAGAAAGCTGCGAATGGCTCTACCTCAAGACCTATCCATGCCACTCTTGGGCATATATCAGATGGACTCTATATGACACAAAGAGACACTTGCTCAACCATGTCCACTGCTGCTCTATCTGTAACAGCCAGAAACTGGAAACAATCTAGATGTCCTTCACAGAGGACTGTGATAAAGAAAATGTGGAGCCAGGCTTGGTGGTGCATACCTCCAGTCCCAGCACCCAGAAAGCCAGAGGCAGCTGGATCTCTATGAGTACAAATAGAGTCCAGGACAGCCAAGGCTACACAAAGAAACCCTGTCTTGAAAAAAGAAAAATCATAACATTTGAGGGTAAATGGATAGAACTAAAAAAAAAAAAAAAAAAAAAAAAAAAAAAAAAAAATCATCCTGAGGTAACCCAGACCCAAAAAGATAAATATGGGATGTATTCTCTTATAAATGGATATTATCCATTAAATGTAGACCCAGATAGATTAGGTATGGAGGAAGGAACTTGGGGGCAGGCACATGGATCTCCCTGGGAGAGGGAAATAGAATATAGATGGAGGAGGGGGGAACAACTGGAATGGGAGAATCAAACAGGGAGGGGGAGGGAAGAAGGGACTAAGGGAGGAAATGTGGGGAGGGACAGCTAAAACTCAGGGTGATTTGAAGAGTCATATAGAAACCTAATACAGTAGAAGCATCTTTTCTTTTTAAGATTTATTTTATTTATTATTTATACAGTATTCTGTCCACAGGTATGCCTGCAGGCCAGAAGAGGGCATCAGCTCTTATTATAGATGGTTGTGAGCCACCATGTGATTGCTGGGAATTGAACTCAGGACCTTTGGAAGAACAGTCAGTGCTCTTAACCTCTGAGCCATCTCTCCAGCCCCTAGAAGCTTCTTAAGATATATATTTTCATATATGTGAAAGAAATTTTAATGGAATCACCGAATAACTGAAGAGATAAAGCTCCAACCAGACATTTCTTGTCACAAAATAAAAGCTTAAGTTCAGAGAATGGTTTACATATAATTGAGTTGTTGGCCAAAGGGGCTTCATGGAAACCCCAGAACAACCCAAGCTATTGGCAAGGCTTTTGGTTGCTCTCCACAAACTGATGGTCAGGCCCTATTGCTGAAGACAACGCCTACATGACAGACAAGCTGAGCTGGCGCCTACCTAGAGCCTTTACCCCTACTGACTAGTGTTCGTGGTACTGAAAGATACTATGCATGCTAGCAAAGGAGAAAGGTAACCAACCACCACACAGCTATAAACCCTTCAGTCTACAGTGGTGACTTGTGGCAAGGTGCACTGGTGGCAGTAGCACAAAGCTGGTAGAAATAACCAACCAGTATCTGATTGGATTCAAGGCCTACTCCATGAGATGGAGCCTGTCCCCAGCACTGCTCAGATGGCCAAGAACACTAGATTAGATAGGCCATGAACTTGGGAGAAAACTAAATACTACCATCCAGCTAAAGGGATGTAGCAATAAAAATGACTCCTAACAACATTCTGCTGTACTTACAGATCAATGTCTTGCTTGGCCATCATCAGAGAAGCTCCCTTCTGTAGTGGATGGAAACAAACACAGAGACCCACAACTCTACAGTGTGCAGAGAGGGAGACACCTTGGAATACTCAGTCCTCAACAGGAGGTTTCCATCAAATTCCTCCCCTCAGGAGACTGAAGAAAACCAAGAAAATAAGAATGAGACACATATCAACCTACAGAGACTTCGGCGCCATGCACAGGGCCTGTGTGGGTCTAAGCCAGATGGGGTTTGTCCCAGTGGTTGGACAGGAAGTTGACACAAGCCCACATCTCTAATCCAGAAGCTATTTCCAACTGAAAACCTCTCCCAAAGGAAAAAATGAGTCTTCTCCAATGGAGTCTCACTGGGCATACAAACCACTCTAAGGGCAAGCTCTTTCTTTTCCTGTATGTTTATATTGAACCTTATTTTATTACTGCCTTTTCATTCTTTTTTCTTCTTCTTTTTTCTGAGACAGGGTTTCTCTGTGTAGCGTTGGCTGTCCTGGAACTCACTCTGTAGACCAGGCTGGTCTCAAACTCAGAGATCTGCCTGCCCCCGCCTCCCAAATGCTGGGATTAAAGGTGTGCAACACCACATCTATCTGCATAGCATGAGTTCCAGGGCAATTGGGACTATACAACGAAACCATATTATCAAAGAGGATGTGTGGAGCTAGGAATAGAGCTTATTGGTTGCCGATAAAAAGAGAAAGCAAAAACCAAACAACAAAAAACAAATGAAAAAAAAACACATAAAACAAAAACAAACCCTACAATTAAGAAGTAATTTTAAGATGTCTGAGTCTTAAATATCAATTAAAAACATAGAGGAGACCCCACGATGGGTCAGCATGAAAGGGTACTTGCTGCTAAACCTGATAACCCAAGTTTGATACCTGGAACTCATATGGTGGAAAAACTGTCTAGTGCAAGTTGTCTTCTGGTATGAACCATGCATGTGCAGCTTTCTACAAAAGAAAAATGTAATAGAGTGGCAGCTGTACCCAAGGCACAATATGTAAAACACCAACTATGAAGAAAGGGTTAATGAGTTTTCTGTGGGAAGTCATACTGGTGCTGGACTAAATGAAGATTCTTATGCACAATTTTGAATAATTCTAATGAGCAAGAGTATAGGTGATGTCTCTATTTCTCTTCAGTTTGATCTAGACTGATTTAGGGACAAGGCACATAAATGCTTAGTGAGTCCCAAAAAAAGAATAGAGTTTGGAACTCTAGATTGATTGTTTTTCTTTAAAAAAAAATATTTATGTGTCTACATGTCCACTTGCCTGTGGGCACCCAGAGACAAGAGGAAGTCTGATGTCTTGTAGCTTGAATACAAGCAGCTGCAAACATCTCAGTGTGAGTGCTGGGAACTAAACTTTGGCCCTGTGAAACAGCTGCAAGTGTTCTTAGCCACAAAGCAGTCTCTCTAGTCCCCCAGTTAATTGTTCTGAATATGAAAATTATGGGCCAGTGAGTCATCATCCAACTCAGTGAGTAAAGGTACTTGCCAAGCCATGCCTGACAACCTCAGTGTTATTCCTGGGACCCACACGGTGAAAGGAGTGAACAGATTCCTCTAAGTTTTCTTGATCTCCACATGTGCATTGGGACACATATGCCTATCCTACTTCCACTCTTTATATTAATAGAAAACCACCAAAATTTAAAATGATTATAAAAACATACCCCCAAGCATTCAAGTTGTTTGTAACCTTGAGGAATTACCAGAAACTGGGAGGGGTTGTATTATGATTTGTATCTGAAATGTTCCCCAAAAGTTCATGTACTTTAGTACTTGGGACCCTAGGGCTATAGTGTTCACAGTGTAGGATGGGAGACATATTTGGATCTTGAAGGCTCTGGCTTCATCAAATGACTGATGTATTTAGATTCATAGATTAATGTGTTTGTGGAAGGGACTTTGCTAATTTGCTTGTCTGCTTATTTATTTATTTACTTATTTATATGCCTTTTATCTAAAAGTTGTAAAAGAGGAACAAGGGCATTTTAACTGTATTATGAAACTTAGCTGCTGCAAGCTACTATAGGGTAGCATGTTTAACAGCACAATAAACCAACTAGAGAATCTACACTACACTAAAACAATGTTTATATTCCAAAAACTCCTCATATCACCAGTCACTACCCAGAAGTTGTAGCAACCAAGATAACCAAGATGAAATGGTGCTGCTTGAAGAGAAGAAAACGTCACTCTAGGAATATCAGGACAGATAACAAAAAATCCAAATAAACTATATCATCCAACAGGCCTTATTGCTGCCAGCAAACCACACTTCAGGGCACATGGACAAAATTTCCATATGGTTACTTTCTCTTGGATATGATTTATAATGTTTACTAAACACTGAGGATTAAGTTCATGTGACTTTCTAACATTCCTTACCTTCATAAAGTTTTCTCAACTGTTGGGACAAATGAATTAAAAATACTTAGCAGGACTATAACCTTCAGCACATCTCACGACAGTGTGTTCCCCTTCACTGTGAAGTCTCACATATTTAGTAAGTTCCTAGGAAATAATGAGCGCTTTAATATTTCTTTCCTTAAATTCATGGGACATCTTGAGTATGAGTTCCTTTCCTGTTTTCAAAGTAAGCTGTCATAATTGGGGGATGTTCCACAGTTCTAGTTTCTTAACAGTGTAAGTTCCAGGATGATGAAATCAAGGTGTGAGGGGTTAAGAATTTTTGGCGTTCCTCCGATGTGAAGTGCTTCTGTTCACCATGAGTTACCAGTGTACGGTTAGTAATCAAAATCCACCGTAGGCTTTCCTACATTCTCAGTGAAAGGTTTCTCTCTAGCATGGATTTTTACATGGTGAATGAGGTTAGAGGATGAAGTGAAGGTTTTCTCACATTCTGTGCACTCATAGGGTCTCTCGCCAGTGTGAGTTCGGATATGCTCAGTTCGGCTTGAGGAAGTAGTGAAATCTTTCCCACAATACTTACACTTATAGGGTTTTGTTCCAGTGTGAATACGGATGTGTTTAGTAAGGTATGAGAAATACTGAAAGGATTTTCCACATACATCACATTCAAATGGCTTTTCTACTGTGTGAGTTTTTAAATGGTCGTGTAGCAGATTGTACCTACGGTAGGCTTTCCCACATTCTTTACACTCATAGGGTTTGTCTCCAGTGTGAATGGTTAGATGCTTGCGTAAGTACGAGGAGTTGAGGAAGGCTTTCCCACATTCCTTACAGATACAAGGTCTCTCTCCACTGTGAGTTCTCAAGTGTCTGCGCAGGTATGAGGAAGCGTGGAAGACTTTCCCGCACTCACCACATATATGAGGCATCTCTCCACTGTGAGTTTTTCGTATGTGGTTATGTAGGTATGAGGAATTGAGGAAGGCTTTTCCACACTCCTTACATATGTAGGGTCTTTCTCCACTGTGAGTTCTTACATGTCTACGTAGATTTGAGTAAGAATGGAAGGCTTTTCCACAGTCTCCACATATATAGGGTCTCTCTCCACTGTGGGTTCTTCCTACATGGTTCCGAAGGTATGAGGAAGTGAGGAAGGCTCTCCCACATTCCTTACATATGTAGGGTCTCTCTCCACTGTGAATTCTTACATGCTGACTAAGGCGTGGGGAGGAAGCAAAGGCTTTCCCACACTCTTTGCATGCAAAGGGTTTCTCTGAAGCATGGGTTGATATATGTGTTATAAGGCCTGACCGCTTAGCAAAGGCTTTTCCACAATCCTTGCATTTATATGGTTTCTCTCCAGTATGAGTTCTAAAATGTTCCACTAGCCTTGAGTAGGTAGTGAAGGCTTTCCCACATTCCTTACATTCGTAGGGTTTTTCTCCAGTATGGCTTCGTAGGTGTCTGTTAAGATTTGAAGAACGTCCAAAGGCTTTTCCACAAATCTTACATGGATAAGTTTTTATGGTGTGTACTTGAACAGATGCATCATGATTTGAGTGAGTAAAATGTCCAGTGTTCCATGTACTATGGGTTTTCACATGTGTCTTGAAATATGAATGTTCACTGAAAATTTCTCCACATTGTATATAGTAACAGAGTTCTCGTGCACTATGGCTTCTGCCCTGTTGATAAAGGGATGAATTATGGTTAGAGAATTTTTCAGACTTATTAAAGGATTCCACTTATGTGATGACAGAAAAATGATGATTTTTGCTATACTGATTACATGTAAAACATAGAACCATCTAATCTTGGAAAGATGTTCCAGTATTTTGGCAGTTTTGTTTGTTTTTGAGACGGGTTTTACTATATAGCCATGGCTGGCCAAAGCTGTTTAGAGCAGGCTGGATTCAAACTCAGAGATCTACCTGCCTTTGCTTTCTTTATGCTGGGATTAAAAGCATGTGCCACCATACTTGACCCCTTGCCTCAGGGGGTTTTGTTTTGTTTTGTTTTTGTTTTTTTGAGACAGTGCCTCTCCATTACATAGCTCTGGCTGTCCTAGAACTCACTGTGTAGACCAGGTTGACCTCAAATTCACAGATCCATTTGCCTCTGCCTCCCAATTGCTTGGATTAAAGGTGTTCGACACCACGCCTGGCCTTGCTTCAGTATTTTAATGAAACTACTTTAAGGATCTCAGAAATGAGTAATATATATCCAGAACTGTATACTTAAAAGGACTCTATCACCTCAAGTTTTGACCTAAACTCTAAGACATTTCTCTTAATAGGATGGATATTACTTCTTTCATGTATTTATCATTTGTAGTGATCTATCTACAAAATTTCCAATCTTTCTTGAGTGTGGTAAATAGGAAGTTTCCTGAGGGGGGAAATGGGGGAAAAGAAGTTTCCTGGCTGTTCTTTCTCTCCTGTTGATAAATGGATGATAAAACTACATTTAACTTTTTTATAGCATGTTGAAGATTTCTGCCATATTTTCTTTCAAATTGAATGATACAACAATAGTTGTCATTTGATGTAAGCCCAAATCAACCATTAAGATATACCTAAAATTGCCTTAAATACTAGTATCTAGTTATACTTTTGGGGTTGTGTACTTGTGGGATCTCTTTCTCTTTAATTAGGCTAAGTGAGGTAGGCAGATCTCACTGAGTTTGAGGTCTTTCTGGTCTAGATAGTACCAGGCTAGCCAGGGCTACATAAGTAAGACAATGACTAAAAGAAATGAAATAAACAAATAAGATTACATTTATTTATTTCGGGGGAGAGAGTACACACAGCAGCGTGCATGTAGACATGAGGACTTGGCATCAAGAGTTTTTAACCACGGAGAAATCTTGAGCAAAGGAATCTTTTTTTTTTTTTTTTTTTTTTTTTTTTTCGTTCGAGACAGGGTTTCTCTGTGTAGCTTGGCTGTCCTGGACTAGCTTTGTGGACCAGGCTGGGCTTGAACTCACAGAAATTTGCCTGCCTCTGCCTCCTTGAGTGCTGGGATTAAGGGCACGTGCCATCATTCCTGGTGCAAACAGGTCACTTAAAGAATAGGCTTTGTGATAGGTTTTGGACACCCCAAAATTTATTATATTCAAAATACTTCTCAAATACACTGCTGTTCCCTCCTGGGTGCATGCCATTTGGTTTCCTATGATTGAGTTCACAATGGTCTGTGAACGAGGGAAATAACAAGTATCTCTGGTCAGTCTTACTGTTTGTACTCCACTGGAAGTCTGTCCCCTCAAAAAATCCTGATGCAGTGTTGGCTCTTTGGTGCCAAGTGGCATTTCCCATTCTGAAGATAAACAGAAAAATAAATTGTCAGTTACAGAGTTAAGAACCATAGGCTTTTTTGACTCTTTCACTGAACCTTGTTAGGAAGAAAGAAAAGTGTGATCATTTTGACAAGGTCAATAAATTGACTACACTAAGGATATGAGTTTTAAATGTTTTATTTCAAACCGACTTTTTAATATAATTTTTTTATTTATTACAATTTATCCACATTGTATCCCAGCTGTAACCCCACCCTTTCCCCCTCCCAATCCTGCCCTCCCTCTCTCCTTCATCTCCTCCCATGCCCCTTTCCCAGTCCACTGATAGTGGAGAACCTCCTCCCCTTCCATCTGACTCTAGACTATCAGGTCTCATCAGGACTGTCTTTCATAGTCTTTCTCTGTGGCCTGGTAAGACTGCTCCATCAGGGGGAGGTGATCAAAGAGCAGGCCAATCAATTCATGTCAGAGACAGTCCCTGTTCCCCTTACTAGGGAGCCCATTTGGAGACTAAGCTGCCACGGGCTACATCTGTGCAGGGGTTCTAGGTTATCTCCATGCATGGTCCTTGGTTGGAGTATCAAGTCTCAGAAAAGACATCTAGGCCCAGATTTTTTGGTTCTGTTGTTCCCTTTGTGGAGCTCCAGACCCTTCCAGGTCTTTCTATCTCCTCCTTCTTTCAAAGATTCCCTGCACTCTGCCCAAAGTTTGGCTATGAGTCTCAGCAGCTGCTTTAATACCCTGCTGGACAGAGTCTTTCAGAGGCCCTCTGTGGTAGGCTCCTGTCTTGTTCCTTATTTCCACCTTCTTCCAATGTCTATTCCATTTGCCTTTCTGAATGAGGATTAAGCATCTTACCCAGGGTCCTCCTCCTTGCTTAGCTTCTTTAGGTGTACAGATTTTAGCATGATTTTCCTATATTATACGTCTATTATCCACTTATAAGTGAGTATATACCATGTGTGCCTTTCTGCTTCTGGGATAGCTCACTCAGAATGATCTTTTCTAGTTCCCACCATTTGCCTGCAAATTTCATGCTTTCCTTGTTTTTAATTGCTGAGTAGTATTCCATTATGTAAATGCACCACAATTTCTGTATCCATTCCTCAATTGAGGGACATCTGGGTTGTTTCCAGATTCTGGCTGTTATAAATAAAGATGGCATGAACATGGTTGAGCAAATGTCCTTGTTGTATACTTGAGCATCTTTTGGATATATGCCTAGGAGTGGTATAGCTGGATCTTGAGGAAGCGCTATTCCTAATGTCTGAGAAAGCGCAAGATTGATTTTCAAAGTGTTTGTACAAGTTTACATTCCCACCAGCAATGGAGGAGGGTTCCCCTTTCTCCATATCCTCTCCAGCATGTGTTGTCACTTGAGTTCTTGATCCTAGCCATTCTGATGGGTGTAAGGTGAAATCTCCGGGTCCTTTTGACTTGCATTTCCCTGATGACTAAGGATGTTGAGCATTTCTTTAAGTGTTTCTCTGCCGTTCCATATTTCTCTATTGAGAATTCTCTGTTTAGCTCTGTACCCCATTTTCAATTGTATTACTTGATTTGTTGCTGTTTAATTTCTTGAGTTCTTTATATATTCTGGATATTAGCCCTCTGTCAGATAAAGGATTGGTGAAGATCCTTTCCCAATTTGTAGGCTGTTGTTTTGTTCTGACGACAGTGTCCTTTGCTTTACAGAAACTTTTCTGTTTTATGAGGTCCCATTTATTGATTGTTGATCTTAGAGCCTGTGCTGTTGGTGTTCTGTTTAGGAAGTTTTCTCCTGTTCCAATGAGCTCAAGGTTCTTCCCCACTTTTTCTTCTAACAGATTTAGTGTGGCTTGTTTTATGTTGAGGTCTTTGATCCACTTGGACTTTAGTTTTTTGAAGGGTAATTAAGTATGGATCTATTTGCATTTTTCTACATGTAGACATCCAGTTAGACCAGCATCATTTGTTGAAGATGCTATCTTTTTTCCATTTTATGGCATTAGCCTCTTTGTCAAAAATCAGGTGTCCATAAATGTATGGGTTTATTTCTGGGTCTTCTATTCAATTCCATTGATCCACCAGCCAGTTTCTATGCCAGTACCATGCATTTTTTATTACTGTTGCTCTATAGTACAGCTTGAGATCAGGGATGGAGATACCTCCAGATCTTTTATTGGGGAGGATTGTTTTAGTGATTCTGGGTTTCTTGTTATTCTGTAGGAAGTTGAGAATTTTTCTTTCATGATCTGTAAAGAATTGTGTTGGCAATTTGATGGGAATTGCATTGAATCTGTAGATTGCTTTTGGTAAGATGGCTATTTTTACTATGTTAATCCTGCTAAGTCATGAGCATGGGAGATCTTTCCATCTTCTGATATCTTCTTCTAATTCTTTCTTCAGAGACTGGAAGTTTTTTTTTCATACAAGTCTTTGACTTGCTTGGCTAGAATTACACCAATGTATTCTATGTCCTTTGTAGCTATTGTAAAGTGTGTTGTTTCCCTAATGTCTTTCTCAGCCCATTTGTCTTCTGTGTAAGGGAGGGTTTTTTTTTTTTTTTTTTTTTGAGTTAATTTTGTATCCAGCCACTTTTTTGTATCCAAATTCATAATTTGTAGGAGCTCCCTGGTAGAATTTTTGGGGTCACTCACGAATGCTATCATATCATCTGCAAATAATGATACTTTGACTTCTTCCTTTCCAAACTGAATCCCCTTGATCTCCTTTATTTGTCTTATTGCTCTAGCAAGGACTTCAAGTACTATGTTGAAGAGATATAGAGAGAGTGGGCAGCCTTGCCTTGTCCCTGATTTCAGTGGTATTGATTTAAGTTTCTCTCTGTTTAGTTTTATGTTGGCTATAGGCTTGCTGTATATTGTCTTTACTATGTTTAGGTATGTGCCTTGTATCACTGATCTCTCCAGGACTTTAAACATGAATGGATGTTGATTTTTGTCAAATGCTTTTTCAGCATTTAAGGAGATTATCATGTTTTTTTTTTTCAGTTTATTTATATGGTGGATTACACTGATGGATTTCCGATATTGAACAACCCGTGCATACCTGGGATGAAGTCTACTTGGCCATAGTGGATGATATCTTTGATGTGTTCTTGGATTCTCAAACCGACTCTTTGAAAATTAAAACTCATGGTGAGCAAGGGCTGAAAGGTAGCAAAGATCTGAACAAATATACAACAGATAATAAACATGAAACACAATAAGTCATTTTGTAAAATTACAGGGAAGCCTGAGAAGGCAAAAAGTAAGAGTCTAAGAAGTAGAGGACTTCATATCTTTTCAAGTACAAGCCCACACTTTGACCATCAAGTGCATCTTAAAAACATTAAACATTCTAATTTGGAACATACTCTTCACAAACACTTACCTTGGAGATCTTCTCTGTGTAAATCCTCTTCTTCCAACCAGGAGATCAGACTGGGTTTGATGACCTCACATCCTTACACATGGCAAAGTGCATTCATGGAGAAGGTTCATGAAAAAGAGTATAAAACGAAGTATAATTCAGGAGCTGTTTTGTTGTTGTTGTTGTTGTTCTGCTTTGTTTTACTTTGTTTCTAAGACAGGACATTACTATGTAGTCATCGCTATCCTGAATCAGTATGTAGACCAGGCTGGCCTCAGACTCACCAAAAGTTGCCTGTCTGCCTCATGAGTGCTTTGAGTAAAGGTATGTGCCCCATAACAGGTCATAAAGCTGTGCTTCTAATGAAAGCAGGGCAACTGTTTCAGAGATGTTAAGCAAATACTGCCTGTTTTGTTCCGTATTACTACTGAACTGAGACACTCTAATTAATGATTATATACACTATTAGAAAACACTAATACTTCATGTCAAATAAAAAGTAAAGTAAAACAAAGATAATTTTACTTTCAAACAGAAGGCTACATAGCATCAAATTCATCTGGGTTAAACTTATATTACTCTGAAGTTTTGATTCAGTATGTCAAAGAAAGAGAATGACTATATTTCTATATTCCTCTCTCTCTCTCTCTCTCTCTTTCTCTCAGTTCTGGGAACCAAACACAGGGACTTACATAGAACACCCAGCTACATCCCAACTCAATAAATTTAATTTTTAAAATTTAATTTATTTATTTTGAGATAGGGTCTCACTATGTAACTCTCGCTGTCCTAGAACTCACTATGTAGAACAGGCTGGCCTTAAATTCACAAAGACACGTCTGCCTCTACCTCCCAAGTGCTGGGATTAGAGCTATGCACCACCATGCCCAGTCAATAATTTATGTTTCTAAGAGGGTGACTGGCATCCATCTAATACAGCATGTCGTGAACCACCACAGAAAATTAAAATGCATAACAGCCCCTACTTATTCATGATTTTGCTGTCTGTGGTTAACTACATATTAGCTCCCTGTCCTGAAATTTTTTAATATAAATTTCTATATAAAATTGCACACCCTTTTGAGCTGCATTATAGACTCTCACACTGTTCCTCTGCTCTGCCTTGGATGCAAGCCACCTGCAGTTGCCACCTATTCGTTAGCCATTTAGCACCTTTCTAACAGAGCAGCTTGCTTGCTGTAATTCAGCATAGCTTGCCAGGCAGGGTGGCACAAACCTTTAATCCCAGTACTTGCACTTGGGAAGCTGAAGCAAGTGGATTTCTGTGACTTCAAGGCCAGCTTGATTTACACAAAAGAGTTCCAGTTCAGCCATGGCTATATAGTGAGACCCTGACTCAAAACAAAACAAAAACAAAACCACAACAGTGTGCTCATGTAGCCCTCATTTTTTATTTACTTATATTTTGTTTTCCAAAATATAAATAAATAAAACTCCAGTCTGTGAAATCCTGAAAAAGGATTTCAGGCAAGTTTTGTTGCAACTCAAAATGTTATGACTGTCAATATAGTTAGGTTCTATCTACAGCGTTAGGCATCCACTGGAAATCTTGAATCTCTTGACTCTCTCACAGACAGGTTATTAGGTAGTATAAAGGTGGGATTAGGACAAGCTCTGTGTGTCTTACTTTCCATTATATTTTGATCCCTCAGCACACCAGGATCTACCATCCCTCTCCCCAAGCCATGAGGATTGGTGGCAGTCTCACCTGCTGAGGCCAGGTTCTGGTAGTTCTCCAGCATCACCTCTCTGTAGAGGTCTCTGTGAGCCTGATCCAATAAAATCCATTCTTCTTGGGTGAAGTCCACAGCCACATCATCAAAAGTTACCGAGACCTAAATTACACACACACACACACACACACACACACACACACACACACACACACAC